ACTTCCTCCACGCCCTATCTACCGTCCGTGCCCTGGCGTCTCTCCTGTGTGGCAAGACATCGCCCACCAACGCCGGCGCCAAGTGAGGAAGCTGCCCTGGACCTTCCCCCTGAGAGCGGATCACCGCGTTACCAGAACATTTCACCGTGCTGGTTAAGAGGAAGATGCATCTGCAGCCGTAGGAAATATCTGTACTTTGTTGTGTGACTCCAGTGCTGTTTATTTAATATTTGAGTGGTGTCAGAGTTAAATTATCGTGATAATTTTCATAGTAAAGAGATGTCAATCTCTAACGGTTGTTTGTTACCCCTTGAAACCCATGATTCTTGACTCTTTTATAAGATCCTGATTAAGCTGGCAAGGGATTTATATCCCAAAGGCCAGGTCTTTACAATTATGGTTGCCCCTTGTGTAACGAGGATGGCTGACCCTAGGGCCACCGGTAATTGTGCAGATTACAGCAACCAAAGAATTAAGGAAATTCACTTCACTCGATCGATAGAACTATTTTTTCTATTATAAATTTCTTATATTCTTCTCTTTAGTCTGTACTCACCCCTGAAGATGTGAATTACACGAAAGCGCTCGGGAACTTCGTGTTTTCTTCTTTCCTTGTGGTTATCAGCATATATATAATATATATATATATATATATATATATATATATATATATATATATATATATATATATATATATATATATATATATATATATATATTTCATGTAAATCCACAATGAAAACGTGGATAAGATAAATCTTGATAAAATCACACGGGAAAATGGAAACAACAAGAGCACAAATGTTTATTCAAGACATCTTCAGAGGCAACAGTTGCCTCTGAAGATGAATAAAAGGTGTCATATATATATATATATATATATATATATATATATATATATACAGTAGTACCTGCTGGGTCAATTGAACCCACAGGGTACAGCGTTAAGTGAACAACAGAACATATGGGATTAATTCCAATGAGACTGGCCCGACCCCCAAACTCACTTTTTGGCAACACACAACTATGTTGTAGTAAAAAATATTATCTTTATGATGGTATGCACACACAATTAATAATTAAGAGAAATATCAATAATATTAGGTTTTTAACACTTACATTAGTAGAAAAGATGGCTGGGCACACGGGATGGGGGTTGGTTCGAGGCAGAGGGCAGATTATTGGCCCTCACCTGTATCACTTGTATCAATCGTATCACTATCCACCACAGAGGCTTGCAGGGGCCTCTTTGTCAACCCCTCAAAGTCCATATAAGTCCATATCCTCACTATAATTATCACTATCACTGACTTGGGCCAGCTGTGGTGGGTGGCGGTGAAGAACTCGTGTTTTGATGACTGGGCGACTTTGGGCGGATCGTGCCAAGCCGCCTCAAGTATATGAGTAGGTGAACCGCTAAGTAAGTTCGGTTCTCAGGCCGAGGCACCGCGATATGAAATCGTTAAAATGAAAAAGCGAGGAGAATATATATATATATATATATATATATATATATATATATATATATATATATATATATATATATATATATATAAGGAAAGAAAACAAAGAAGTTCCTAAGCTCCGTGTAATCACATCTTCAGGGGTGATACAGACTAGAGAGAAATACAAAATCAAGGTGTATATATACAGAGGGTGAGACCAGGTCACAATGGCAGGTATTAGGTAATGACCCTACTAATCTTTAAATAGCACACAACGGTTGGTGGTCAGGTCAGATGGTCAGGTGACCCGGCCTTCTCACCTGGTCACAAATTTTCTTAATTACAAAATTGTCCAGCTTGTACATGCCGTTATTCAAATTCATGTTGAATGCTTGGTATGTTTAATAAGACTAGATTCTATGATGATTGAATTACATGGTAATATTGAGGAGGCATTATCCCAGTCAATGCAATGCTTGTTATCCCTCAAATGAACAAACAGAGCATTGGATTCCTGGCCTGTCCTAACACTGTATTTGTGTTGTTTAATTCTAGTTGCAAGATCTTTACCTGTCTGGCCTAAGAGAGATAATTTTAGCCACATACAATAAGTCATTCATGATATAACAGGAGGTATTGAGGTGAGGTTGTGGGATCAGAGTTACTGGGAGCTACCTCCACCAAGTTTAATGTCCAACGCAATTCCTCTATGGAATCTTTTATAACCACTGTTTTACCTTGAGCGTGATGGTCTTTACCCATTCATCTTGAAGAAGGGTACACAGTAACAGATGCATAACTGAAGAGGGACTGGGGAAAGAATTAAACTGAACAGCATCATTGTTGTTGTGGCTGCTACCAGCTGAAGAGCCAAACCAGAATCCACACAAAATAAATTGTATGAATTTTGGTGAAAGTTTTTTATAACAAAAATAAATAAAATAAAATAATCTTAATAAATTAACCATATTCCATAAAGTCCTAAACACACACACACATACTGTAACCAAATACAGGTACCAGGGTTGGGCCGTAAAGTAATTTGGCCAATTACTAATTAATTGGTCGAATATTATGAATTTTAAATCTGATTAATCATCATGAAATTATTGGTACTACAGGGTACAATGTTAAAGACCACTTTTTTTTTTTTTACTTAAGTTTTGCTACCCACCTGTTATCTCCTATATAGGAGTAAATGGTTTTAATGATTTCCCACCTTTATAAAGTCTAGTTTTGCATAGTCTTAACCTGTAACTTCTCATCCTGTACATCCAGATTGTAATTTGTTAGAAATTCCATCTCTTCTTCTTTTGTGGTCATCCAAGATGTCAGAAATGGTAGTGAATAAAATGTACCAACTCTCTCCCCAACTTCTCAGTAACAGTCTGATTGGGACCTGTGTCTAAATATAGTTATACAGTGAGTTCTGCTATAAGCGTTTTGATAACGAATTTGCTCTAACGATTATGAATTAGGAACATATTTGATAATAACTATTTGCTAAACCAATTTTTGCTTACTATTCTCAATTTTGGTACATGTATGCTATAACAATCAATTGGTTCTAGAACCTTGTTCGTTATAGGATTAACCGCCAGGCCCCAAATACAACCACTAACACTGAAAAATATAATATAAAATTTAAAATTGTAAAAAGTGATAAATAACTCAAACCCCAAATAAAGAATACTAATATTTTATAAAAACAATAAATAAAAAAAAAATTCAATAATTTAGTTGTAGGTTTGTTATAGCATTCAATTATAGGTAAAACCGTCTAAGATCCGCTAGCAACACTGTATTAACTGTAATATAGTAAAGAAGAATATCAACAAAATTCGTGATAGAATTCGTGATGAAAAGAAAGATAAACTGAAGAAAGCTCGATTTATCAACCTCAAATCCTTCTCCCATCAAGTAAAGTGTTACATTACTGTATGATTTCATTATTAGATATGAATTAACATTATTTAGACGCATCCTTTGTGTTAGGCTAACTACTAAATTTTGATTATAATCTGCACCTAACCTATTTTCTCCATAAGCCCTGTTATTTTATTAGATTTTCTATAACACGATATTTTACAAGAACACAATTATCGCGTTATGGCAGAACTACCTGTACCCTGTAGTTTGTATTTACTTTAAATACCACTTTTTATTTTTAATTCTAATAAAAAACATGTATGTTGGTTTTGTATTTGTTTTTGTTTTAAGTAGCACAAAAACACATCCTGAGCTTGCCTGAACACACACTTGCAAGAAAACATGACACACCAACACTGTATGATCATCAGCCTTAGTCTAAAATCTGAAATTTTTAGGCCCATGTAGACTGAAATGTCAATGTGCTGTAACATACAAATTGAAATATTTCACATTTCTTGATTGCGATGAAAGGCAGTTTTGTTTAATTTTATAAATTTAGAGCTGCAGCAATACTTGTTGAATATTATAGACTAAATTTAAAGTTGAATTTTGTTACTTCAGTTGATTAATCATGATTGGTTCTGTTTGATATTAATGGGGTAACAAAATATTTTTGTTCAGTCAGGCAAACCAGACATACGTCAGTAAAGAGCTTTAAAGTAAAAAGAGCTTTTGTTGTTTATGAAAAAAATAAAACAAGATGAAAGAATTTGCTCTCATATTTTCATTGTTTTCTGTCTGTCCTTATTTTTAATATGTTCCATAATATGGGAAACGGAGTAAAAATAAGAGGCACATGAAACTAATATAAATGATGTAACGAATATGCATTTATATAGGAACTTGCTAGAAATAAAAGTTTTGGAGAGGCATCAGAGTTCTGGCAAAATCACTACTGACATTAATACCTTATACCAGTAAATATGAAATTACAAAGATAAACTTCGACTAATCGGCCCGATTAATTGGCAAATTGCCTACCGATTAATCCGTCCAATCCTACTGAATACTAGATGGGGAAAGAATTCTAACTGAGCAGCTCCATGGTTGTGGTGAATGCTGGCAACTGAGGGGAGGTGAACGGCTGAATAGCCACTGTCTTTTTTATACTATACTAGTGTGTTTTGAAAAGGAGGATAGACTCCTGGTTTCCATTATAGTATTCTTTGGTTGACAGTTATCTAAATACATTTTGGGTTAAAAAAGTTATTTCACAAATATTAGTAATTTTCATCCATATCATAAGTATAAAAAGTGAAATCCACTTTACACCAAAATGTTATGTCAAGAAATTAAATAATTAAGCAATTTAGTCCCATATGTGTAGTCTACTGGTAGTTCTTTCAGTCATATTAAGACATCATGTTTGAAGACTACCAAGCCAAGGTGATGATGTTGAAACCAAAGTAAAGGAATCATAGAGATCTTACACACACAAACATGTTAGTACATACTGGTACTGTGTGAGATCATCATCACATTTTATCACCTTATTCATTCAACAACCTTTTTTGATAACAAAACAAACTCCACTGCAGCAATATTTACACACCACAATAACAAGTGTAATAATAATATCGTTGTAACATCTTTACAAAAACTGAGGTATAATAAAACAAATAATTTGTAACACCATTTTATTTCTAACAAATATCATCAGTTAGTCATTTCTTAAGATGTAATACCTCAAAACACTTTGTAGCTTATATTAGCTCAGTAAAGTTAGTAAAACAATACTGAACTAAAAATTACATACAAACTGAACTAAAATATACATACAAAAAATATTAAAAAATAAGTAGATTCCTAAATTACTTATTTAGAAATAACGTGATACATGACATGCACGTCAAGGTTAGGGGGCTGATAAAGACGACATATGGCCACACTTCCTAAACCTTAAAGGTACAGACCCTCTGGTGTTCCTTCCTTCTTTCTATATAAAACATTCTCCTTAGACTTCTTGAAATCTTCACTGGTGACTTTCATTCGCCTTTCTCTCAATGCCATTAACCCAGCCTCTGTACAGATTGCCTGTGTAAGAGAAAGATTTATAGTAAGATATGAATGACCATTCATGTGCATAACAACCAAGTTGTAATATATACGAGATTATACCAGTACGGTACTGTAAATGCATTAAGACCAAAAGGCAGTAAAGATTCTGTCACAAATATAAAGAAATTAATATGATAACCCTCTCTTGGATCTTCAGCTGCAAGGAAGGGAATAATTTTACATGAGAGATTTCTACTGCTGTTGCTGGAAGAACACCATAATAATAAAAGTGTAAAAATGCTAATGAAGCTACTCTTAACTTACTTTATATTTAATAGAGATGCTACTCTTAACTTACTTTATATTTAGAGATGCTAAGTGGTAGCAGAAGTTGTGCATTATGATTTAAACAGGACAAAGACAAGATCATTATCTAAACTTGTACATAAGATGTGGGTATGCCATGGTTCAACTTCTTGTTATATGTCCCAGGCTAATAACTCATGAATTTTTCACGGTGTCATTTTATAATCACTTCAGTCTGGAGTTGAAGGTTCATTTACGATACAATATTGTGTTTAATTAGCAATCTATGTTGTTCTGAATTTTCTTGTTTTCTAGGAGACTACTACCTCCCACTTACAACAGGGTTAGGGACTCAAATCCAGGCCGTAAGTCAAAATGGTCCCAAGTCGAAAATACTTAAATTATACATAGAAAACCTAAAATAGGTCTCTTTTTCTTCTCAGCACCACAAAACTCTCACATTTAAGCTTGCCAGCCATTTTAAAGTGAATTACAAACGAAAATTTTTTCAGTACACAGCACAGTAACTGACGCTGGAACTCGAAATTACGTATTTGACAAAAATTTTGTATGACTGAGGTGGTCATATGTCCGGGTGGTCAGAAGTCGAGTAGGTCGTAAGTCGGGGAGGAGCTGTACATGGTTTAAATTATCTACTACAGTACTGTATATGATTATTTGCAAGATTTTAGCCCCTAATCCCTGTGGATAAATGGGCTGACTGTACTTCAATACAATTAGTAGACAAATACAAGTGTGTGTGTGTACACTGATGGGTATAAAGGTCATCTCAAAAGTGCTGCGGTCACATTCTTTACAATGTATTGTATTCTATTAAACTATATCTTTATCGTACCTTTATATCAGCTCCTGATAAGTCATCCTTGGCCATTATAAGTTCATCTAAGTTCACATCATCGGATAAAGTCATTCGTGATGTGTGGATCTGGAAGATGCGTCGCTTTGTCTTTTCATCGGGTAGAGGGAACTCTATCTTACGATCGATTCTGCCAGGACGGATCAAAGCCGGATCTAAGGTTTCAATTCGATTTGTTGCCATGATTACCTGTTGCAAAAATAAAATAAAACATGATTAATGGCTCTTTAAAACAATAGAAAATATCTATATAAACTTTTTAAGCTAATGATTTCTTGACTTATGGAATTTAGGCTCAAAGCCAAGCACTGCAGCCAATAGGCGGATCAGATCTGTATGACAATTAAGGTATATACCTTATATAAAGAACAACCACCATCCAATTAAAACTAATTAAAAACAGCTGATGCTTCACCCTCTTAGACAAAAGGTTAAAGATGAAACTAACATAAAAAAATGTGGCTCATCTTCAACTCCATTGTGTGTAAAAAACATATCCTAATTGCATGGACCATAACTCAAGTGAGGTGACATAAAAGGATATACAGTACTGTACAGTGTACTGTACAGTAGGATCTCAAGTTTAGCGAGTTTTAGATTCACGATTCATATGTTTCGTCACTTAAAATTTCCAACCTCTCAAGAATAACGATTTTCATTACCAGTTTTTTGAGTTATTGGAGAGTGGGCAGCGAGATTGTCACGGTCTTTTGTTATTCGTCAATTCGCCGAGTGTTTTTTGTTTACGGCAGTTAGTTTGAATGAACGTTGCAGGCAGTGGCCTTGGATTATATAACTCATTGTGCTCATGTTTCACGAGATTCTTGTTTAACTATTAACGATTCTTGTGTATTAGTGATTCTTGGGTATTAACGATGAGTAAAGTGCTTAATGTTAATGTCGAGAGCGGTTCTGGTGGTAATGATGGCTGTAGAAAAGGTCAACAAGGAAAGCCCCAAGCCAAGCGTCACTACTGTAAGGGGGTCAAGAAAAGGAAATACCCCTTTGAAATGATCAAGTGTAGGTTCAACTGCCCCGAATCAAACATATGTTCCTTAAGAACATGGAAGCCTTAGCTGCTTCCGTGAATATATTATCAAGATTTTCTAGTAACAGGACGTTCTCCGATACTTCACAACGCAACCTACTGTTAATTATCACAGAACATTACCTTCATAAGTGGGTGGAAAGAAGAAACCATGAGCAAGGCGACCTGTCTGGGCTACAGATAAGGCTGGCACATGTTTATTACGCTGCCGTTGCACAGAAGAAACACTTTTAACTCTCCACCACCGTTCAATGCTTCTGTTGGTTGGTTGGCTGCCTTTAAGAAGCTTTATGAAGTCAAGTTTGCCCACTATCATGGGGAGAGTGCATCGGCTGATGTCATAACAGCAGAAAAATATCTACCCGCTCTTCAAGCTCTTGTGAAAGAGGGTGGTTATTGCAGAGACCAGATCTTCAATTGTGACGAAACTGGCATTTTCTGGAAACACTCGCCTAAGACCACTTTCATTGCCAAGGATGAAAAACAGGCAAGGGGTGTAAAGACTTCAAAGGGCAGGGAGGATTACAGTTTTATTCACAGCTAATGCAAGTGGATATTTCTTGATGAAACCTTTGGTTGTTAACTGTGCTGCCTGTCTCAGAGCCTTCCGTTATGCCAATATGTCGCAGCTCAATGTTTAGGTTACAACGTCTTTATGCACCGATTAGTTTTACAAGCACCTTGTTCTTGACACCCAACAGTACTGCCAGAGGAAGAACATCGACTTCAAAGTGATCCTGGTGATGGATAATGCTCCTGGATATTCTAAGTTTCTAATTGGACGCCACCCTAATGTACAAGTTATCTTCTTTCTTCCTAACACCACATTGCTTCTGCAGCCACTTGACCACAAATTCATCAGTAATGTTAAACTATCAGTCACTCTATAAAGACTTTCGTCAGCAGACAGACTCAATAGTTAAGTTACAACAAATCGAGGTAGAACTCTCCGACAGTGACCAGGTTCTACCAGCTAATCAGGAGGAGAAGGAGGAGGAGGAGACGGTAGATGACTCGACTCCTAACACCTCACCACCCCACAATTGTGAAGTGTTATCAGTTTGTGAATTTTGGAAGAAATACAATATTAAAAATGCAGTGGACAGAATTGTTGAACAGAGCAGACCAAGGCAAGCGGGGAGAGGCAGTCCATGGCGGCAACACTAATGGACACAGTGGAGGCAGTGTGGTCAGTCCCAGCACCGGATTTTGATGTTCAGGTTGAAGATTTGCAAGAAATCGTTGGTCAACATCAGCAGCAACCGACAACTGAAGAAATGTTGAGGAGGATGAAGAACAAGAACAGCAACCAACACAAAGGATGATGTTAAGCCTGGTGAACCTATAACAAGCCAGCTGACTGAATTGCTCACAAACATTGCACACATCTGTGAACAGTTAGAATAGGATACCAGGACTCATCCTCAGAACCTTATCTGCCCTGTCCTTGATAAGGTTATGGAGGAGTATTAGGCCTTGTACATGCCCCGTGTTAATGCTCATCAGCAGGCCCTTATTACCTGAGCAAGGCCCAGCCTTTTAAAGCCTTGGCAAACATCACTTTAGGAAATGATGATGGCACCACCGATGATGAGATTGAAGTATTGGGTGACTTGCTGGTGGAAGAACTGCCTCAAGACTTTGAGGGATTTGATGCTGAGGTTAAAGGAGTAGAGGAGAGAGCAGGGAGGAAACAGTAACCAGCCCTCCCTGCCTTGGAACCCATCAAGCATTTCACTGACTCCATCAAGGTAAGTTATTCTACAGTATGAGTGTCTATTAATATTGTAATCAACAATATGTACAATATAATATGTATGAATACATTACAGAAATGTAATTTTCTTGGTGGGTTGTAGGTCATCATAGGGGGGTTCGGGTGACACTGCTAGAACTGATTTAACTTATTTACATGTACTGTACAGGCATTTCAATATCACTGCTTTCTAGATTTTAAATTTTGAGACGCTTAAACTGGTACCAATTAGTCGCGAAACTTGAGATCCTACTGTATATCTTTCATTACAGTTTATCAATATAAACCCTTTATTGAAAATTTCTTTGGTATCTTTTCATTTCTTTTCTTGTAAGGTTTAATGCAACTGATACCTTCCATGAAAAATAGATTACAAGATAGAAGACATTACAGACCATGATATATATGTATTAATATATAAATTTAAATATTAAAAAATTACTAAAAGTAAATGCAAGCACACATACCTTCACATCACCCCTGGAATCAAAACCATCGAGCTGGTTGAGAAGCTCCAACATGGTTCGTTGAATTTCTCTTTCACCACCAGAATTTGAATCGTATCGCTTTGTTCCTATTGCATCAATCTCATCAATAAATACAATACTGGGAGCGTGTTCTTCTGCAACTCTAAACAATTCGCGAACTAATTTGGGACCATCACCCTGGAAGAGAACAAAAATTTTAAGGTGAAGAAACTTCATAGAAAAAGAGAAGCTCAACTGAAGTAAGTTGATGTAGGATTCGATGTATAGTAGTTAGGTAGTAGAGAATATAAATAAATGCCGAGGTGTCATATGAAATAATGGGCAAGACAGATGACTAGATCATAGAGTCATGTCATAAGTTATTTCTGGTACGGTATGGTAGCAAGACTTAATGAATGACAGTAAATAAGGAAATGTTTGTGCTGCTCTTGATTTTGGTCACCCTACGCCTTTAGCACAAAGGAGCTCGCAAAAGGTAAATAATACAGTAATAATTTATGGCTAGCAGAAACATGAAATATCCAAAACACATTAGTAAAACAGTGAAGGAAACCTAAGAGAATAGGTAAACATTCCATTACTTTACATTCCCTTACTTTGAAGTTGTTTTCAAATATTTGTTTAAGGCTCTTATTATTATTATGCAGGGTAGCCATATTCAAATGCAAATGGACACACATGCTTAATTCTTATTCATTCTTCCTGCAGTAATAGATGCTCTCACCTATGATACACTCTTTCCACAATCTGTCTAGTTTAGCCCTGTTGTTTCACACAATTTAATGTTACCCATCAACGGTAAGTTTTTCCAATAAACACCATGACCTATAATAATCCATGTTCACCCCTTAATTTCTAGTGTGTTCTTTATTCTAATTCTTGGTCATCAACTCCTACTTCTATCATTACCTTCTGCATTACTTCACTTCCACTCTATTAGACAAAACTTTAACTTTCACACTTCCTTCTCATCTTTAAATTTTATATTGCACAACATTTCTTTAACTTCTAATGTGATTCTTCCTCTTGCATTCAGGGTCCAAACTGGTGAAATAATTGAACATCTGACAACACCTAAAGAAAAAAGTAACACACTTAAATACAGTACTTGTCATTTTCAAAACTACTGTGTGCTTAATATCCCTTATTTAATCACTATATATACTATAATGCTGTTAAAAGCAATGATTACATTTTTATGGGCAAATTACTGCAAGAAACACTTACCAAATATTTCTGAATAAGTTCTGAGCCTACAACCCTAAGGAAGGTGGCGCTGGTTTGATTGGCAACAGCCTTAGCCAGGAGTGTTTTGCCAGTACCTGGCTGGCCATAGAGAATCACACCCTTGGGTGGCTTGATACCCATTTCTTCGTAGTACTCCGGGTGAGTGAGAGGCAGCTCTACAGACTCTTTTATCTCCTGAATCTGTGTATCCAAACCTGAAATTCATTCAAATTATCACATTATCTAGTCGAGGATTATCTCTTCTTGAGCACAAATTTATTCAGTTCTGAAGAGGAGGCATCATACCTACTTGAGGAATAAAAGATAAAATACAGTCAACAAGTTCTCTATCAATGAGTAAAAACAACACAGACTATCAGTAGGGAGAGTTTTATTTTATTAACTGGATAGTTACACAAAATAGCAGCCACTGGTCACCACAGTAACAACTCACCTCCTATATCTGCGTATGTTTCCTGTGGTGCCTTCTCTAACTTCATCACAGTTACCATAGGATCTGTGTCATCACTCAAAACTCCGACAACAGCATGCACCTGCGTAAGAAAATAAGCATAAGTTATGTCCTAATTACTCATATCTTTTTATATTTTTATTTCATATTTAATTTTAAAAACATTACCATCTGCAATAAGCGTATATTTATCCTAGTTACATATTTTCTCATTTACTACCTATGAAAATTTACTGGTGTAGTAAATAGAAGCACTTAAAATAATAATAGATCCCCTCCTTAACTCTATGCTGAACAACCACTTTTTAATATTCAAGGTGCATAACTCCTGTGTTATAGTCAGTCAGCCTTAATCACTGTTATATTAAATCAGCTTTAATTATATTAAGACAATAATTCTAGCACTGTTGAATATACTGTGTGTACAAAATATCAGGCCTCTTCTGTAAGCACTTTGAAGAAATACACTATGTACAGTACCAAGTACGGAAAACTACAACTCACTCATAAACTTCCCAGAGAATAACTCCTAAGTGGTACATCAAATCAACCCTATATTTGGCAAGACTGTAATTCTAACATTAATGTTTATGCAAATTTTTTTTAGGTGTTCGTTGTTCAATGAGCGTGTGCCACCTTTTTATTATTATTTTTGTATAAGTTCATCCAATGCATAGAATGCAATTAAAATAAGGAAACAAAGAGAATTAAATGAACCTGCAAATATAATATCCAAATGTTCTCCAGAAAAGCAACAGCTTATCTGTGTATGAGCAATACAAGTTCATGATAGTTATCCACTTTAAATAATCCTCTTGGTCCCAGTGACACACACTTAATCGTACTAAATAATTTCTTGACAGCACATGAATTGCTCTAACTTAACCTAACCAAATTTAACCTTAGATCGTCAAGTTACTTGTAATGTAAAAAAAAATTTATTGAGGTTAATACAGTAGTACTTGTTTCTTCCTAACTCCCCCATCAATTTTTTTCATTCTGAACATAAAAACAAACAAATCTATAAAGAGCCCACCAAAGTCTAAATAATATTACTACACCCTAATTTAAAACCCTTATAGCTTCACTTCCAAAATTGGTAAATAACAAAGGATATCTACACAAAAATGTCTGGAACACACACAAATATGAATGATATATTCCTTCCTCCAGTCTTCATGTCATGAGATATAAAATTCCCAAGATGCTATCCTCTCTAACAGTGCCAATAAAATACTAAATTATTATAATTTCAATTTTTGTACCCCACACAAGGTTGTGTTATTTGTAAACAAATCATATCCTTTACATAATAAAAAGAAACATATAATGCAATGGTCTTAGGTCTTATTCACACTGCTAACATAACTGATTATTTCACTTTCAATACATTCTTAAGATATTGACTCACCTTGTGATTGAGCAGCACTGAACATCCAGGTTCAAGCTGATCTTTATCTACAAAGGATAGGATAGAGACATAGTGTTCCGACCCCACACTTGTGGAGACGATGGCATGGTTATCATCGATGATCTCCTCAAGAGTTCCTACACTCATGGGTGTCCCTCGCAGGTCATCCACCTTGCTTCTCTCCTCCTACAAATATATATATAGTATTACACTTCAGAAATGTTCCTACTGTTAAGTGGGCATTAGTAACATTATCCTCTATCTAAAATATATATATATACAGTGGTCCCTCAATTAACGAACACAATTGGTTCCACAGAGTCGGTTGTTAACCAAAAAATTCTTGAACTGAATATATTATTTCAATGGGTTATTGGGTAATTGGTTCCAACTCACAGAAAAAGTAGAATTAACAAAATACAATACAGTACTGTACAATAATAAAAACAATAGAATACTGTATTTTAACTTACTTTGAGGTGTGTATATCTTATTCCCGGCAGCTTTGTTTACATATCAAACAGCTGATTGTAGAGGCAGTTGATGATGACATGCCATATTCTTTACAGAGTGCATTGGTTCTAATGCCTTCTTCATGTTTCATAATAATTTCTGCACTGTATATTATCAATATGTTAACTAAATTTCAGAATGAACATTAATTTTAATGTAAAAATGCAAAAATATTCAAGAGACCAACAAACTCGATGTTCACTCCACTGTAAACAAAGTTAAACTGAGGAGCGTTGGTGGGTGATTCGATCAGCTGAAGGGCACACAAAAACTGTTCCCTGTACTGTATATATTATCAATATGTTAACTAAATTTCAGAATGACCAATAATTTTAATATAAAAAATGCAAAAATATTCAAGAGCACAACTTTCTTGATATTTACTCCACTGGAAACGAATGTAAACATAGAACCAATTACTGTATTGGCAGACGAGCTGATGCGCACAACAAAGCGTGTTTCTCGTAAGGCTGTCGTTAATAAAAGTTTTGTTTGTTAATGGAACTGGAAATCCTTATGGGAGCGAATTTGTTAACCAAAATTTTGTTAAATGAACCGTTCGTTAATCGAGGGACCACTGTATATATGTCCCCCCATCCTCTCGAATTTTCCACCTTGTAATATAAACAATACAGACCCCTGCCCAACCGAGACAGGCCTCCTCCTCAATTAGTTCGGATTAGAGGAAGTTTACAGTATAGTCTTCATTTATGCGAATTGAACCCGAGGAGGTCCACGTAAAACGAATAATAAGTAAACGAAATAACAGAACATATGGGATTAATTGAAATAGAGACTGGGCCGACCCCCAAACTACACTTTTTCCGACACAATAGTACGTTGTAGTAAAAATAATATCTTAATTTTATGATGGTATGCACACACAATTAATATTTAAGAGAAATACAGTTAATGTCCATTCAAATAATGGAATCAACCCCCCCCCTCTTCCCACGCTCTTCAAAAATGTTTGGGTGAAAACACTAGGTTTTTAGTTTTAGTAATAAATAATACCTCAGACTATGTTTAGGATATTATAATTGACATTGCTGGATTCCTTGCAAGACTGCGAATAATTTGAATATAAACGCCATATATTTTGCACAAAAGATAAAATTTTTGCTCTCTCTAATAAAATTCTTAAATTAGATCTAAAATTTGTATGTCTAAAGCAAATTTTAGCTTGTTTATATTCAAATTAATCACTATCTTTTAAGAATTCCAGCAATGTAAATTATATTCTGGCCGGGTAATTTCTATGAATTTTATGAGCTAAAAACAAATATCTTCAGTAAATTAACAACTCATACTTCACCCAGACACAATACGTTACGTACGTTGTAGTAAAAATAACATCTTAATTTTATGATGGTATGCACACACAATTAATATTTAAGAGAAATATCAATAATATTATGTTTTTTAACACTTACTTAGTAGAAGATTTGGCTGAGTAAACGGGGATTGGGGTTGGTTCTGAGGCAGAGGGCAGATTATTGACCCTCACCTGTATCACTATCCACCACAGAGGCTAGCAGGGCCTCTTTGTCAAACCCCTCAAAGTCCATATCCTCACTATCACTCTCATTGACTTGGGCTGGCTGTGGTGGGTGAAAAACTCGGTAATGTTTTGTTGACTGGGCGACCTTGTGCGCACCCTGCCCGCGCTGCTTCCCGCGTAAATGATGGAATGAACGGCGTAAATAAAACTTGTCGGTCTGGCAAGGTGCCGCGTAAATGACCAAACTCGTAAACCAAATCTGCGTAAATCGAGACTATACTGTACTGTATTATCATATATAAAATTACAGTACTGTACTTTTCTGTACTAATTTCCTTTATTTTAAACACTGCTTTAATAAATTAATATCTGTAGGACAATTTGGTTTGAGCAAGTGCAGTACAGTAATTTTGAAATTTGCTCACCAGACTGAACGGGTGAATGAAAATGTTAATGTAACGCCCAAGTGTTATTTACCTCCTGCTTCTCCTCTTGAGGCCTCAGAGTCTCCTGGTTACGAATGAATTCTTCTTCCATCAGCAGGTAGTCCTTAATGCGCTCTAACTTCAACATCTTAAGGCGGCAACGTGTATGTGGTGTTACTAATAAAATATAAAGTAAATTAGACATTAATAAAGATACTCAGGGTATCCAACAAAACTCTCTTTAATAACTGAACATACATCATACAGCTCATGAACACAAATTCTGCCAAATTTCAGATCTACCATGACACTCCTTGCAAACTCTGAATTGATACGTGCAATGTTTTATTCCTAATTTCCTGTACTTTTTCAGGGTAAAATCTGGTTAAGTTTTCCAATTTACAGTCATACAGTCAATGTATGTTAATACGTCAAGTCTTTACACAATCACAAAGGTGAGACCATCTTGAGGGAAATGGAGTAACAAACTATGGAGGCCCACTATTGACTTCACCTAAAAGCAGTACATCTCCAGGTCACGAAAATTAACCAAACACTATATTGTACTGTACTATGGCTTCTGACTGTTTTTCTGCTTCACTTAGTAAGTATAAAGAAGAACAAATAAACATGGGTTATAACAACTGTTGTTAATTATAAATACCATAAACATTCACTACTTTATAGCCTATAAATAATGTCACTCACCAAGAGGTAATTTATTTGCAGCGTCAGGCCCCTTCATCTTTCTCTTCTTCTTGCCTACTCGGGTGGGCACCGGAGGCTCGTATTTCTTCTTCTTATCTTTCTTGTCATCTCCCCCTTGTCCCCCTCCCCCAGAACCACTACTCTGGCTCTGACCCTGAAATGCAATGAAGAAGAATCAGCTTAGAGTACATGTAATGAACAACAATCATAAACTAATCTAACCTATCATTACCATGACTATAATAAAAAAAAAATATTCTTGAGTCCAAACATTTTTTTCCTTCCTCCAAGATGGACTTGAATCCTATGAATTTTAAAAACTGTACCAGTAAAAATAAAGCATAAAAATTAAAGAAATTAAGAAATGTGTAACTATAGTACAGTTCACATGTACAATACTGTAGTTATCAAAGTCCCTATATAAAGGTTGGTAACCTACACAGTAATATTTTATGACAATTGTGCTGCTTTACCAGCAACTTGAGGAAATTTATCTATACTGTATAAGATACCGGTACTGTAAATACTGTCCTTTCTCTCCTTATAAAATGGCCCCCAAAAAGGAAAGGAATAAGATTTTCATGTTATATTCCGTAGATGCCATGAACACAACTCTACAGTATATTGATTCTTATATAGGGAGATGGAGATATAAAAAAACTAAAATTTATGGCATTTCTGTTGGAAATTGATAGTTTTTGAGTTATTTTCACTTTTTTATTTCACTTAAACATAGTACCGTATATACAAGTTCATGGGGAAATACATCGTTTACGTCTTTCTCGGCTAATCAGCAGAAGTTTGAATGTCACATGATAATCGTTAGCATGCATAAGCTCTGAAATTTGAATTGCGAAGTTGCAAGGGTTTGACGCATAATTGAGCGAGTACAGTACTGTATTTGAAAATGAAGCTGCAGCTGTTGACATCTTCAGGGTTCATGGTGTTCTCCTTTCATTAGTCAAGTGTTCAAGGAGTGGGTCAGACTGTTAGTATCATGAATACAGTATCAGCATACTGTACTTGGTATTGCAAAACTCCACAAGTGGAAGGGATCTCATTATTGTGGGTTTACGGTGTCCATGTCTAAAGGCACTTGGTTCGACAAAGTAAACATGCCAACCTGGAAAAACTTCTTGTTCTGCAATACATTCATCAGAACAATTCTCTCAGTGCTACACAACAAGAAATTTGGAATTGTCATCTGAAATTTTTATTGATTGAAAAAGGTTTTTTTCTTAAGAAGTTAGGTCAAGTTAAGTAGGTTTGGTTGGTTAGGTTAACTTAATAACCGTATATACTCGTGTGTAGTTCGAGTTTTTAAGACCAAATTTTTAGGCAAAAAATTGGGGGTCGACCTCTACATGGGTAATAGTTTTGTTAGGTTGAGTCCGTGCATGATGGGAAGGGCGAGGAGCAACTTTTAGCTTCAGACATGAAAAATATTTACCATTTATTGCCAGTAAACAATGGAAACGTAAAATATGTACCAATTAGTAATGAAGAGTTGTGCGGTGCCTTCAGCAGATGAAGCTCACCAACTTACAATAGGCTAACTTACCTTACAATGTGCTTTAAGTAGTCTATGTTGAAGTTCTTAGCACAGGCTAACTTATCATATCATATATACGGTATCACAGTACCCATTGATCTACAAAAAATACTGGTAATATAAACCATTTCGATGTTTCACACTTAATATAATACCCGGTAATCCACCTCAACCTCATATTGTTTACAACGATGCACAACGCACCACCAGCTGTTGGGTGTTGGCACAGTTGCCGTATCAGCTAGACGGTACGTGTTTTTTTAATCGTTTTCAGTTAAAAAACTGTTACATCACAAGTATATTTTCCCTTAACTGTGCCTGAATGAATATATTCTCAGAAATAAATAGTAGTTTTGCAGAAACGTGATGTATTTCAATGTAAAATAGAATAAAATACATGAAAACAAAAGATTTTACCTAACCTTCCGATGTTCAAGAGATGTTACTCGTTTTTCTAATAGTGTTCGGTTAAAATACTGTTATATTAGAATGGTATTCTATTCATACTGTGCTTGATATAATATATTCCCGGAAATGTAATATTTTTGCTGAAATGACGTACGTATTACAGTGGAAAGTGGGATAAAATCATGAAAAAACAATCGACTTTCGCTTTCTTTCGTTGTTCAAAAGATGTTACTGTAATCGCTTTTCGAATGGTTTTCAGTTAAAAAAACTGTTGTATTAAAATAATATTCCATCCTAATTGACTTGAATAAATACTTGAATGGAAATATACAATACAGGGGTATTTTTGCTGAAACTACCTGTGTTTCAGTGTAAAGTGTTGTAATAATAAATGGTAAACAATTTGCCTTCGGCGCTCGGTGTTTCAGGCACAGCAACCCTCAGTTTACAGGACGTAGTGTGTTTTTAGTGAAGGTTTTCTGAAATGAGTTTTGTATGCCATAAAATATGGTGCATTATTACCCTAATTTGTTGTTCCATTACCCTCAAAAACTTGGGTAGACCTATAAACGAGGCACATCATAAATTAATGATTTCTTGGTCAAAAATCAGGGTCGACCTATAAATGAGATAGAATTATAGACGAGTGTATACAGTAGTAATACGTGGTTGATAACACAAACTTAACCAACCCAACCAAACCTAACCTAACCTGGACCCCTGGCATATTAAGCTGAAAGCACTTACTTAAGACATGAATAGGTTTAAGAACCTATTGTGCAGAAATAAAAAAAAATTACATGGGATTTGCACAGGTCATAGACACACAACTCTGGACAGTGAAGGCTAAAAATAAAAGGTAGTAAAAGCCCCAATATAAAGCTCTGTCAGTTTATTGACAATTTTAGCGAGACCGGAATCAGAATTTATTTATTTCCAATCAGACAACAACAGGCCAGAAATTTCAGCAGAATATTTAAAGTAAAAATTAAATTTCTTGGCAAACAAAGCATGTACGGTATAGACTTGATTAAGTGCTATATGATCAGTTTTTTCTGTGTTTTTATTTCCAAATTTCCCTCATCCTTCATACCCTGCCCACTCCAGGTGATTTATGATTGCAGACAAAGGACAAAAAACATTTATGATGAGAATAAAAAGTTGCTGTATTGATTTTATTAGTTAAAATCATCCAAATTATAACTGTGGAAGACACGAATGAAATATATAAAAGGATACACCACATTTGGCAACCAATCCACATCGTCACTGACCCAATTCGTCACCAATATCAATTCCACTTTGTCATCACTAACAGTCGCTGGTATTAGTGACAAATTGTAAGTTATTATTTTACACGAATAGAAATTACACGTATACAGACGACTCGAGAAGTATTGTTATTATTTTTATTATTATACATGAATATTAATTGTTTAATAAAGAAAATGATTCAACAATGGTAAATAAGCAAAATAAAGAACAAATGAAGGTGATTTGGCACCGATGCATGAACCACCGAGCAGTGAGATGATTACAGGCGTATTAACAGTGGTGTTATCTTTTATTTTCGTCTTTAATAAATTGTCTTAAGTGTTTTTTATTATGTATTTGCTATCCCACGCAACAGTTATTTTTGTGTATATAATGATGGGAATAAACGGGGTGACGAAAGGGGTAAAGCTGTGGTTACAAAACGGGTTAAAAATAGTGGTGACAAAGAGGGTTGGTGACGATATGGGCAGGACTCATATAAAAGCATTCTGGTGCTAACCGCTCTTCCTCCTTTACCATTATTACCTGCGGTACATGTACTGTATTCAATACCCAGACCAACAAACTTATAAGTGTTCTTAAAATGTTGTGGTATTATTTTACTTTAGGACATAGTGCACCCCAAAGTTATAAGCTACTGAAACATTTAGATCTCCCTATTCTGAGCATTCTGAACCCCATATATACCAGGCAGAAATGGATAATAGCGACACAATTGAATTTATTTTACGTAGTTTTCAGTCTTCGTCTGTGAGATGATGTTATTGGCGCATCACGCATGCGCAATGTTGACTCACGTCATCCAGTCGTGACCAATGAGGTATCAATATCTTAATGCAATTTTTTTTTGACCTATCACATTTGATTAATTTTCAAAGAAAGCAGCCTGGGTAATTTCATTGACCAGTCTCACAATGGCCGTGGTGGAGGTTGGTTGTCATTTGTGCTCCTACGATTATTTTAAGTTTAATGCTAAGTTTTATGAGAAAGACGATCATTCTATCCAATTCTTACGTATCTCTGGTCCTTCCACTTCTAACTAAGGTATTGTACTTTCGGACATGGTGCGCCCCAAAGTTTTTAACTACTGAAACATTTAGGTTAGTTTAAGCTAGGCCTACCGCCCCCAGCTAGGGGTCAGGTTAGGCCTACTGGGGGTCCAGGGGTGTAGTCCTGGCTAGGAGTTAGGTTAGTTAGGTTAGACGACTCGTTTTCGTTTTCTCCCCCACCCAAAATTCCCAATTTCCCAGGTTCTCCCCCCATTATTGATTGAAGGGGAAGGCAAGAAAAAATAGCCATTTCCGCCAAAGATGAAGGTCAGATTCGTTTAAAACACACCACAATACAATGGAAAAACATATTGGTCAACCCCTCGGGACTCGTGTCCTAAAGAAAAAATTTACCAATGTTGTTACTGCGCTTCAACAATAAAGGTCTTTAAGCACATAGCAAGGTTAGTAATTAATACACTGGTTCAACACCAATAAAATTGAGATAGAATTCTCTGCCTAGTGCGAGATCCCCCCCCCCCCAGTACTGGGAATAGGAATTCTATTAAAAAGCAAACTTAAGATTAATTAATAAAATATATTCAGTAAAATCAGTTACACACGAGTGTGTATCCAGACAAAATCTGTAGCAATAATATATAAAGCACAATAAACATAAGATACTTTGAGTCGAGTCACAAAACACATCACAGAATTTGATCAGGTGAGGATCTGGTTTACGTCTCATAAGCGATTTAATAACACCATAAGCTTAAAACACTAGCATAATAAGCTCTTACACAATAATAAAGAAATATAAACACCCCATTTCTTCCAAATATACAAAAAATTCACAGCACAAAACAATGTTCCCTCTCACCATTATGACCCGCTTCCTGTGTTGACAACTACACCAACCCTCGACTTCATAATAACAGCATGCATAATATTCTCCTATACAAACATATATATACTTTTTGCAACAAATAGCAAATCTTAATATATTTATATTCATCAATTCCAATTTAATATTATAAAACTGTTTTAAATTATATAGTAGATATATTAAGTCAATGTTTTATAAACCTATGTAGTGAGTCTGCCGGGCGAACACCATTACAATTGAAGACGATAACAGTACTTTTATGAACATTTGACATATATTAATACATTTAAAAAGAAGAAATGGGAGGTATTCATTTATGTAGCTGGTTTAGAATATCACTACGAGTTCTTGCGCTTTTGGCCATTGACAAAATCAGTGACGTTCCCAAATCAACCTAAAAGAAGAGGCAACAATAAATGTCTATAAAATATATTATATTTTTCAAAGGTGTACAACAATATACTAATTAAAAATTCCTTCAACCATCAAATATAATTATTATCTGTTTTTCGTTTTAATTGCCTTATTCATTAAAGCGATATTACATGCTTTTATTCATTTCGCTTCTAATCAACTGACACATTATTTACTATTTTTAATTTATTCATCTGTAGAGCGTGTATGTCCTGTAGAGAGAACTTAGACACTGACTACGGTACCTTTAGGCAGAACCGTAGATAGAAATTAGCCAACTGAGCGCCATGTTGTTACTCAGCAGGTGGGAAGTTGTAGGGGTATCGATATATTAATGTTGTCTAGCACTCAGGATGGAAGGAAACTCTAATGTGGTTTTCTTGTATAATATATAAGTTATATGATAGACAGTCTGGTGCTGGAGGTGCCGTGTGGTGGGAAGCTGCTCAGTAGAAGACGTTCAGTGAGTAGCGTGTTGAAGGAGGTAGATGTGCAGGAGCTTCGTTAGAGAAGATGTTGCCTGTTGCTGGCCTCCTGGTTGAATAAATGTTAACAGCTAGGAGCTTGCTGGAGGAGATGTTGCTTGTTCAGGAAGATGGGCAGAATGAGAGTTGGTTGGTGAAGAAGCTCAGAGAAGGACAGCTGGTGGGTCGCCATGCTCGCCGGCGGGAGCGAGGACCGCCAGGCAGGCGGAGGAGGAGGTGTTGCTTGTTCAAGAAGAATGGTCAGAATGAATCTCAATGGAGAGACAGAGCTTATATACCCAGCAGCAGCCGCCAGTCCTCTATGAATCATGTTGGGAAAACCCAGAAAGTTGCCGGTGAGTAGTTTCGTTGCTAAGCAACCTTACCATCTGGTTGGTTGCTAGAGAAGGCTGTAGCAGCTTGGTGACGCCGCTACGCAGTTGTAGGCAGTTGTAGGGGAGACGTCCACTACAAAGTCTTCGGGCTGTCTCCCACATAATTTATAAACATGCGTACCCAATTGTAAGTATGTATAACAATTTTAATGAATATTCATCATCATCCTATACAGTACGTGGGCAAACTTCTTCATTTGCTGAGTAACAACATGGCGCCCGCATGTGACCGAGTTGACAGAACTTTATAATCTAAGGCTTTGCCTGCAGGCTATACTGGCCACAGTCATTTTGATCTTGTTTTTCCCTGGGGCGTCTCTCTTCATGACCCCGCCCTCATCCCTCGTCAATCCTTGAGGCTCTAATTCTCATATCAAGCCCAGATCATTTTAATTTTACCTTTTTAATGTTAGTCTGACTGCTGGCTATCCCAGTCAGGTCCTTGTACAACTTCATTTCTAACAAAATAAGCCCATCCAGTGTTCAGCATATCTCTAAATTTTCTAATTTCAAAGGCAACCAATCTTTTCTTCAATGGGTATCAGGGCCTGGCAGCACCAACACAATATATTTTCGACTTTTTCACGCTTGCTTCAATCCTTGCCCATGATTACCTTGTCAGCAGCTAATATGAATTCGGAACAAACATCCTCCTCATTCAAGTATCATCATTTTGTCTCCCATCTGATGTTGTGGGGTTTCGTGATGTTGTCTCATACTCAGGATGGGTTGGAGAAAGGAAGCTCACAATGCGTTTTCTGTATATATATGTATATATATATATATATATATATATATATATATATATATATATATATATATATATATATATATATATATATATATATATATATATATATATATATATATTGAATGTACAGTGCAGTTTGGTGCTGGGAAGTTGCTGTGTGGTTAGGAGCTTCATGAGAGGTCTTGGATGAGGAGCTCGTTGAGAGGTCTAGTTGGTGCAGGAGCGTGGAGTAGAGAGAGCTGAGGAGCTTGCTCAGAGGAGGTGTTGCGTGCTGCGTGACTGTAGGTAGAAGAAGGGAGTTCACGGCGAGGTGAGGGCTTATATAGCGGAGGTAGGCGTGGCTTGATAGCCGACCTCGCTGTGTTAGACCACGAGGCATTGGCTGGGGAACTTGACAAGGGAACTTGGCTAGTCAGCGACAAACGGCAGTTTAATGTAACTAACCTAAACATTCCAAAATAGACAAATTTTCCCACTAACTTAAATTTTATCCTCAACATTCTATCAACAACCAGTACCACAACATTGTCAGCAATACTCCCCCTCTGGGCGCTGCAGGAGACTTGTTGTCGGCAGGGTTGTATCCCACATGTGAGACATAACGGGAGGGGGTGTGGATGAGCCGGCTGCTACGGGAGATGACTCTGTCTAGAGACACGAGATCTGTGGGAGAAGCAGAGGGAGAAGTAGGGTTGTGGATAAGAGAAAGTTGTACAGACGAGGAATGTGGGGCTTCTCTCGCGGCAGGTACACAGTCCTCAGTGGCGCTGGGTCCATAGGGCCGGCTGCAGGTGTAAGAGTGGGGGCTGCTACTACTTACTGCTGAGCCACCGAGGCCACCATTTGTAAGAGCACGCACCACAAGCTGCCACCCTGTAAGGGCTTGGCACTCTTACAACAACTTACGTAATACTCTGACTTGATAGCGTGATGTGAGAGGAAGGCCCATGGGTCCATGTAATTATAGTATCGAGTATTAGGGAAAGAACAACGGTGAATACTGTAGGTGAATCATAGACCCACATACAAATACACTGTTTATTAAACACAAAAATGGTTACAGAAAAGACGTTGTCTTCACCCCAAAATAGGAACTTCTGGCACCTGCCAGTACAACACTCAATACCCCAGGGGCCATACTCCAGCGGCCACCATGGGAGTCTCATCACCAAGTGACACCTTCTAACAAACTCAGATAATTCCAGTGGACTAACACCACCACACCAACAGCCCCACCGAGTTATGTACTGTACTCATCCACCAATGATGGGGCTGGCAGTTGTTTGTGGGGCTTGACAATCCGGGTTCACTACGTGGGCATGGCGTTAGGGGAACTCTGGCCAGCTTTGGGGCCCATAGGTGGTAGTGGAGCCTCTGACGGTCGGGATTCACGGGGACATCCGACTCCACTGGACCTCAGACATCCCCAGACTAGTGGATGCGTCATCCACGCTACAGACAATGCCTAGGCTGCGATAGGGACCTGTGGGTGGAGGAGCGTGGCGCTTACTGGGTTGAGCTACCCGCCGCCTTTCACCCACGCTAAAGTCACGGACTCCACCTACTCAACCATTTCACTGAATTACGTTACTGTAACACTCTGACGTTTGAAACTGAGACTACGAACTCGGTTTCATTCCCTACTATTATCTTCACAAACAATGCTCTGACTGAGCTATCAAAAGCAAGAATTAAATTAATTACAAAAGGTTGGATGGTAACACGTCCCAACACGCAGCACCTTGCTACAAACCCGAGGAGCAGATTTTAAAAGGTTCCCTTCAGAATATTAACTAATTCCTCGGTTAACCTCCCTACCACAATTTCACTATGATTATCAGAGTCTCTGATATTCATAGGTGAAAAAAAAAGGTTTACAGGGTCTCGGTAGCTGAAAGAGTTTACAAGTTCGGTCAACAAACATACGACAACTCGATGACGTCATCAAAGAAACAGAGAGAACGGAGGACATTTCCACTGGGAGACTCAGAAGGTTTTGTGGACGTGTAAGCGTAATATGGATCATTAGTTTAACAGGTTAGCCGTCATTACGATCATGACACAGGGTCCACGTCAGGAGCAGTAGGTACCTGAGGATGAAAAGAGGGTACCCAGAAATGTTGTGGGCGAGGTGGTGCTGTAAGCGGTAATGGTGGGCAGACTGGCAGAGGAGGTGCTGGATGAATGTGCTCAGGGCGGTGGGAAGGCTGGAGTGGGGGCAGTAGCCTTGAATGCAGAAACCGCCTGATATAGTGTTTGTAGTAGGTCGTGACGGGCAGCAGGAGTGAAGTGGTCAAGGTCAGAAGTAAGGCGTGTGATGTGCTGCTTGATAGTGTCGGAGGTTATGGCGCCTTCCAGTTTCCGTCGATGTCGCTTCGTCGTCTGGTTGCAGGGAGCCTCACAGCATCTAGCGTTAGCACCAAAACGTTGATGGTACCAACAGGGGGTAGATACACTGTGCTGGGGGCTAGGGGCTGGGGGCGGCGTCTGAGGCAGGACGGGTGTGTTGGGGTCGGTAGGGCGTAGTGCGTGGGACAGGAACAGGAGCAACTGCATGCTTGGAGGAGCAGAACTGCTCTAGGGTGTCCAACCTGCGGTGTAGGGACAGTAGCAGGTTCCTCATGTCTTGTGAGGCGTTGGTCGTCTGGGGAGCGCTGATCTGGTTGACGAGACCGGAGGAAAGTGAAAGTGTAGCCGTTGAGTTGTGCGCGGAAACATGGCGCACAGCAGTGTATTCGTGGAATACTCTGTCTGCCGTGGCTGTGTAGGTCGCCGAGGTAGTAGAATAGTCCAATACTGAGAGGACCAGACGAACTTCTGCAGGGAACTTCTGAGTGTGAAGCTGGCGCAGGATAGTGTCAGAAGCCTGTCTGTGTGGCGGGAGTTCCGTCTACGCATCTCGTCCCAGAGACGTGCAGGCGTGGAGTTGCTGAGGGAGAGACAGGATAGGTCTTGTAGGAGAGTGGTGTGGGGCCGCTAGTATCGCGTCTTCAGAGCATCCCGTAGGGCA